AAAAATTATTTTTTTGATTCAAGTTAATTTCTTAATTAATTAAATTAATTCAATTTAATTAATTAATAAATAAACTTGACTAAAAAAAATAATTTTTGAACCAAGAAAATCAGGAAGAAAAATTTTTAAATCAAATAAAATTTCACTTGATTCAATTTTTTTTTTCCTGAGTAGATACCAAAAAAAAAAAAATAAAATAAAATATAACTAACGCGGTGTAGATTTAATTCTTGAGATTGAGTATCACGGCGACGTCTAGGTTTCATGAATTGGTTCCCCATTTCTTGACCTTTTTTTATGAACTCGTTGGCCATCTCAGGAACTTTAGCGAACATGTCAACTCCAGGAATGGATCCAGCCATTTTATTAAAAGCTTCCATCCCCTCGCTCAAACCAGGTATCTGACGAGTTTGCTAATCAACGAATTAAATAGTTTATAATTATAATTTATAAGTCATTGTCGTCATTAATTATTAAAGCAAATTTTAATTTAAATCAATAGAAACTTACACGGTGAGGCAAAGATTCTGATGGTGTGAATTCCAGAGCACTGAGAAGCTAAAAATACAAATAAAATAATAAATAATTATTTATAAGACCAAAAAATAAATTAGATGATCAAAAATTACCAGCAAGCTGCAGAAAACACCGAATAATCCCGACATGATTGCGAAGTGCAAGTCACAATAAGGAAGATTTTTACTTGACTGTTGATTTTACTTGCTCTGAATCACTCATTTTATATGAAGCTACATAGTAATTAAATGTAACGTGAAGATATATCTTCACGGGAAGAATAATCTCAACAAAAGATTGAAATCAAACTTATCTTTTTAAATTCTACCAAGTTTAAACATAGTTCTTTTATGTATTGTAGCGAAAACAATCATTCACGCTATGTTGAGTTTCATTCAAATAATTGTTGCAATTATCAGGAATCCCGATGTTAAATATATGTTTTTATGCTATTATACAATAGAAGAGATCATTATTTTTAGTAATTAAAAGAAATATGTATTATTTATTTATTGTCCTGGTTGATATATTTTTTTATTATATAACCCGATAATATTTTTTGCGTTCTATTTTATTATAAATTTTTTTGATATTTGTGAAGATATCAATTTTTAATTATTATTTAGAATGTTCTAGAAAGATTTTTTATTAATATTTATATTTTATGGATACTTCACTTTTTTTATTTATATATATAGTATTTTTCCATTCACTCCGCATATATAAAAGTAAATAAATAAAAAAAAATTGAAAATGGCATTCATAAATTTTCTTTTTTTTTTTTTTAAATAACTTGCATATAGTTTTAAAAGTTTTTTTTTTATGATACTTCACTATTTTTAATCTTTTTTGACAAAAAAGTTTTTTAAAAAAATTGCATTTGTAATTTTTAAAAATTTCTAAATGTCAATTTTTTATTTTTTGCTATAATTTAATTGTGACAGAAATTCTAAAAATGAATGAAAATTAACTTAGCAGATATTTAATAATTTTTTAACAATTAAATTATGACAAAAAAAATGAGAAAAAAATTGACAAGTAGAAATTTAAAAAAAATTAAAAATGTAATTTTTTAAAAATAATTTCTCAGAAAAAATTGGTTTGTTAAATATAAAACTAATAAATTGTCAAGTGACTGCTAACTTTAATGTCATTAAAAATTATCACATAACTTTCTAAATTAATTTTCATGTTATTTATTTATTTTTAAAAATTTATTTTCACAAATTACATTTTAAGTTTTTTTTTTTTTTAACTTTTTTTATAATAATCTTCAAAAAATTATATTAGATCTCTATTAATTTCAATGTCATAAATTTCGTTTAATTTTCTAATAGTTTTTCCTGGTGTAATGTTTTATTTATTTAATCAAAAGCTTCAAATGATAAATGATTAACTTACTTTTATTAATACTAATTTATTTATCCATATTTTACATAATTTTTTTTTATTCCATAAGAAGAAATCACGATGCATATGTCAGGTGACAAATTTAGACGGACGAAAAGAAAAAACTATTTATGATAAAATTAATCATATACATTCAATTAATTATTGCTAAAAATAGAAATTAAATTGAATTTAATTAGAGAATTTTTTATGAGAAGTTATAATTTTTTTTTTTTATTTATGTAAAGAAATGTTTTAGAAAAATTGTCGATTGAAGCGAAAACTTAAATTGTTTCAATCTGACAGCCAGTAAGATAAATTTCTAGGTTAACATTTTAAGATAATTGGTAACCTAAACAAAATAACACATAACACAAAACAATAATATCAATTAAAGTTTGATTTTGTCAAAAAATAAACAAAAAAATGATCAGCTGCTTTGTTTTATAATTTATAATTGCCAAATAAAATAAAATAAATCCAAAAAATGGCATCTGGAATCTTGCGAACGCCGAGAGTAATAAATGTTCAGCCAACTAAAAAACATACAGCTAGTTTATTTATTTTCCATGGATCTGGTAATTATTTAATCAATAAAAATAAATTATTGGATATATTAATTTAATATTAATGATAATTTTCATAATTTTTTTAGGAAGCACTGGAAAAGATGTAAAAGAATGGATAGACATATTAAACAGAGATGAATTTAAATTTCCACACATAAAAATAATTTATCCAACTGCACCTGCTCAACCTTACACCCCGTTGGGAGGAATGGTATATATTATTTATATGACATTAAAGTTAGTTGTCATTAGACCATTTTTTAATTTTTTTTTAACAAATTTTTTCAATGTCAATTTTTTTTCTAATTATTTAGCCATAATTTGTTAAAAAAATTTTTTTAAATCAAATATCTGCTAAATTAATTTGTATATTATTTATTAATCCTAATTTATAAATAATAGTATTGATAATTAATATTTAAAAATTAAATTTCGTGTAAATTTAAATTTAGCTGAGCAACGTGTGGTTTGACCGCAACGACGTTAATATTAAAGCTCCCGAAAATAAGGAGTCGATCGATGCAATCGCTAAAACGGCGACTGAACTTATAGACAGCGAAATAAAAGACGGGATTTCTGAAGACCGAATCGTCGTCAGCGGGTTCTCGATGGGTGGTGCTATGGCAATGTACCTCGCTTATAATTATCGCCCGTCGTTAGCTAGCTGTGTTACTATGTCCTCTTTTCTCAATGATAATTCTCTAGTTTATGAGGTATTGATTTTAATTTTTAATTTGCTTATTATGTAGTAAGTAAATTAAAAAATTTATTTTTTTTTTCGGCAGACTTTGAAGAACAACATCAAAACACCGCCTCTACTACAATTTCATGGGCTGAATGATTCTTTGGTACCTTTTGCATGGGGAGAGAAAACTCATGAGAATTTAAAAAAATTAAATGTTAATACTAAATTAGTACCAATTCCTAATATTGAACATGAAATAGTTCAATCAGAAATCCATCAATTTAAAGAATGGGTTTTAAATATTCTTCCTGATGTGTAAAGTAGTCATTTTTATTTTTTAAAATTTGTGGTAAAATAAATAAATATTTATTATTATTATTTTTAAATTAAATAGTATTTTAATACTTCAAAAAATAATTTTTGAGGAAAAAATTGCTCTTTTTAAAATGATTTATAACTGACTATTTTTCAAAGGCTGTCATTACTAAAATCTAATCGCGATAAAACAAAATCTGGCACGGACGTGATTAATTATTTTCTACCAGCAATACTTGAACTATATTTACTGATAAAATTTCAGCAACTACCGAAAAAAATCTGGAGCAAATTTGAATAAAATAATAAACCAAAGATTATTAATTATTAAATTTATTTTAGGACTCCAATTTAGGTAATAGCACCATCAACTTATCTACTGCGAATTTAAAATGTAATTATATTTAAGTGTTGGGTCACACTTTACCGTGATCGTGACAAGAAATCCAACTCCTTGAAACAATGACGTCAAACTTGGTTGAGAACTACGATACATCTATAAAAAAAAAATATAAATACTACAGTACAACGTGTAAGTAATTTACACTAAGAGAAAAAACTACAATTGAGAAAAAAGAACATTCTTAATAAAAGAAATTAAATAATTGGAAATTAAAAAAAAAATTTATTTCTTAGCTTAAGAAATTGTGAATTTTGTCGAAAATTTTTTTCAAATTTTTATTTCTTCTGCTAATAAATAAAATTGTTGAAAAATTTCAATCTCGTAAATATACTTCAGAAAGATGTTAATTTATTAAACGGAACGTATCAAAATTTTTGACTCTTTTCTTTAAAAAATTCTGTTGAAATATTAGCTATTATCATCATGCGCTTACAATTTTCCAACTAAATAAAATTACCAGATTATAAAATGCTGCAAATTCTCGATTGGAGTTTTTTGATAAGTAAATAAATAAAAAACACATAAATATGAAAATTGAAGTAGCAGATATTTAATAATTTTTAGAATTTTCTTAAAAAATAAATTAGTGCAAAAAAAAATTGACATGTAGAAATTTTAAAAAATAAAAAAATTCAATTTTTTTAAACAAATTCGTTAAATAAAATAAAAAAATGGTCGAGTGTCTGCGAACTTTAATCATAAATTAATTTAGCAGACATTAAATAATATTTGTAATAAATAAATTATGGAAAAAAAATTGACATAGAAATTAAAAAAAAATAAAAAATGTAATTTTTTAAAAATAATTTTTCAAAACAAATTTGTTTGTTAAAAATTAAAAAATGATCAAGACTTCTAACTTTAATGTCATAAATTAATTTAGCAGACATTAAATAATTTTTGTAACAAATAAATTATGGTAAAAAAAAATTAATAAGCAGAAATTAGAAAAAAATAAAAACTGCAATTTTTTAAAAATAATTTTTCAAAACAAATTTGTTTGTTAAAAATAAAAAATGATTAAGACTGGTAACTCTAATATATAAATTTCTTCCAGGGAATAATTAGGGTAAATTTCAGCACGTGGATCAATCTGGCAGTGGTAAGGATCGGATGGTCTGAGCGGGGTTGTATCCTTGGATCTTGTACCCTAAAAAATATATGACAATCCTTTCCAATAAGTTGAGGTCACGTTTGCAAAGTAAAAAAAAAAAAAAAAAGAGGCATCCGTCCACAAATACAAGCGATATATAATACCAGAGAGCAGATACCAGGGCAGGGTAAAAGTAAGACGACCCCAGACCCCAGACAAAGTGATTACGTATATAGTTGGCGTTGCGCATTGGCGCAGTTGAGCTCTACACACCCCCGACATACATATCCTCGTGCTCAGTACGTGGGGGATATACCTTTCACTTTTTTATCTTTCTCGCGCCCTCGCAGTCGACATTCAGTTTTGATCTCGCGTTATCAAACTTACATTATCCAAGTCCGGGTCGCTTCATTCACCTGTTCTTTATTTCTTCATCACCTGAAATTAATAAAATAAATAATTATTATTTATCTGTTAATTATGAAGCTCAAAAAAATGATAGAAGATAAATTAAAATTTATTTATTCAACGACACAGAGTGTTAGTTTTTTTGTACGAAAAGACTTAGACAACTGTAAACAACTTAGTATGTGATATTTGCACAATGTTTATGTCTGTTATATTGAAATTAATTTTTAATCGTCTTATAATAAGTTTGTAAACCCTAATGGAAACTTTTTTAACAACAAAACTATTTTATAAAATATCAAGCTTAAAATAACCACTTATATTAATACTGTACGTTTATCTTTTAAATTTATTCGCTCGCGAGGAAAATCAATATAGAGTATGTGTTAAAAATGGATCAAATAAACTCGCTCGCCCGCGGAATATTTTTGAATGATTTATTAATTTTTTTTTTTCTAGTTAAAATTATTTTTAATTAATATTTTATCTGTGATAAAAATCTTTTAAGTGAACCAATCAAGTGATAAAAAAGTAACATTTTATTGAGTAACTATGTGATGATAAAAAATTACCTGTCAATAATTAATTTATGTAAACATTCGATGGATCGATTACAAATTATCTTGAATTAACTGTTTACTTACTCTTGGCTTAACAATATTCTTCTTAATGTTTCTATTAAATCACACCAGTAATTTTAATAATTATTGTTCATTTATGTTGGTTGTAGCCCGATGAATTACTGTGAGTGGTGGAAAATATTGTTTTGAATGACTCGTCCGTCGAATAATTTTCAGTACCCTAAAATAAAGCGTAAGTTTTTTATTTTATTTATTAATTAATTCAGTGCAATAAGATAACAAATTTTGTTTTGAAAAATATGGGAATTTTTGTAACAAGAAATTTAAATTAATTTTATTTCTTAGCTGAAGAAATAAAAATTTTTCTCAGCAAATATTTTGTTAAAAAGTTTTCTAGATTTAAGGAAAAAAAAAAAAACAATTTTAAATTGACATAAAAAATTATTAAAATTAATTTAGGATATATTTAATAATTTTTAAAATTTTATAACAAATAAATTATGGCTAAAAATATTAGAAGAAAAAATTGATATGTAGAAATTTTAAAAAATAAAAATTGCAATTTCTTAAAAATAATTTTTTGGAACAAATTTTTTTAATAAATAAAATTAAAAAATTGTTGACTGCTAACTTTAATGTCATAAATTAGGGCAAAAAGAAATTAAATAAAAAGTTGACATGTAGAAATTTTAAAAAATAGTAAATGCAATTTTTTAAAAATAATTTTTTGGAACAAATTTTTTTGTTAAATGAAATCAAAAAATTGTCAAGTGACAGCTACCTTTAATGTCATTAAAAAGTTATTTTTTCCTAAATCTAAAAAAATTTTTTAATCAACAAGAAAATTACTGATAAAAAATTTTATTTCTTCATTTAAGAAATAAAATTTTTTTAAATTTCCAACAAAAATTCTTAGAAAAATTTTTTTTCTCTGTGTATAAGTTTTAAATTAATGAAAATTATGTTAGCTGACATCTAAAAATTTTTAGAATTTTTTTTTTTATTAAAAAAAACTAATTAAAAAAAAAATTTTATTTGTAAAAAAAACTCAAAAAAGTGAAGGGCAATTTTTAAAAAATATTTTTTAGTTCTAATTTAATTATTAAAAAAAAAAAATTAAAAAGGTCGGCTTACTTTGTTATTATTTTAAATTATAATTTCAATCATAAAAAATTGAATAAAAAAAAATTTTCCACGAAATTCCAATAGCTTCAGGACTTTCCGAGATGGTCATCATGTAAACCCATAAAATTACAATTTTAATCATATATAAATTATAAAATAAAACTTTCTCCAGAGGATTTCAAAAGCAAACACAAACATTTACATTGGCATGTTGATTTAACAAGTATGATACATGTGAGAAGAAAGTAAAGGACTTGTCAGGCACCGACCTGACAATATTGGTTGAATAACAATTTATATGATAATTATTGCGTTTAATTTATTACTTGTTATGTCACAAGTATTTCATTGAGTAACACCTGTAAATGACAACACCGAAGTTTATTTATTTTTACTGAAGACTATATTAATCACAAGTAGTGATTTGTGAAGATAATAATGATGATTTGATAATAATAAAATAAAATTAATTTTTGCAATTGCAGGAGAAATGACCGGTGATACGGGATTCGGTCTAGGTGTTGGAGTAGCAAGCGGCTCCGGACTTGCTGCGGCCCAACAAGGCCAGGGAGTCGCAGCTTTATTGGTGATGCTGGCCGTTCTCTGCTTTATATTCGCGTACTGCTGCTGGGGAGCTCCGTTCTGCAGGTCGTTGTGTCGCAGACACTGCTGCTGCAGGCTAGAAGATCCAGAGCTTGACACAAGATTCGGCAGCAGTGATCAGGCCATGGTCGCTACTCCGACGATTATTCTGCTGCCTCACGGAAGAATGCTGGTAGTTGATGGAAATATTTTCAGTCAGTTCCAAGCTGATACTACAGGTAAAATTTGTTGATTATTGTATTTTTATGTTAGTTGTTAATTGTTTTTTTTTTTTCTAAGGTCTTGATCTGGTGGAATTGGGTGAAAATGTTCTGAGGGCACAACGTAACTCACGGTATGTTAATCGACACCACTTGTCGCACAATAGCCAAGGAAGCATGTTGGAAATGGATGCTGAGACACCGAGTAAAGATAGTATTGGCTCGGTTGGTTGCTTTCCACCACCGACTTATGAAAGTATTTATGGTAAAGAAGAAGGTGACATGCCGCCATCATATTCTGATATTATTTTACACAGGTATATTATTATTCTTTAATTTTTAATCATTAAACAATAATTATAATTTTTCTATTTTAATTTGTTTTAAAAAATCATCTTTTTTATTAAAAAGGTCTTAAAAATTATAATCAATAATTAAAAATTTTTATTTATTACAATTTTCAAAAAATATTATTTTAAAAATTATTATAATTCTGTGAATAAAATAAACAATAAATTTTGCATTTTATATTTTTTCTCAAAGATTTATTTTACTTTTATTGAAATAATAATATCTAAAAAAATTACTTTATTATCTATATTATTAAGAGAAATAGTCAATTTATGATTATTATAAGTATTTAGGTTGCATTAAAAATGCTCTATCTGCAGATACATAATTAAGAAATGACCTTGTATCTCGTGAACTATTGACATTTTTAAAGATATAAGCTCATTCCGATGTTACACTCATGGAGACCTTTCATTTGAGTACCCACATCAATTTTTCATATATTTTATATATTATATATATGTATATATGAAAAATATATCAAAATGCATGTGAGTACTCAAATGAAAGCTCTTGATGAATGTAACATCAGGATGAGCTTATATCTTTAAAAAGGTTAATATTTAAGAAAGTACAGTACAATTTAACAAAAATCACTATTTAATTAAGCGAAATTTTATTTATTTATAGTTCACGAGTCACGGCATGTAACATCGGGATGAGCTTATCGGGTTATATCTTTAAAAATGTCAACAATTAAGAAAGTACAGTGCAATTTAACATAATTAAGAAACGACCTTGTATCTTGTGAACTATTAACATTTTTAAAGATATAAGCTCACCCTGACATTATACTCACCAAGACCTTTCATTTGAGTACCCACATCAATTTTTCATATATTTATGTATATTATATATATGTATATATGAAAAATATATCAAAATGCATGTGGGTACTCAAATGAAAGCTCTTGATGAGTGTAACATCGGGATGAGCTTATATCTTTAAAAATGTCAATAATTAAAAAATTTATTTATTTATAGTTTAAAAGTTACGGCAGTCATATCGTGACTGCAAGCTTGCTAGTTATTATTATTATTATTATTATTATTATTATTATTATTATTCTTATTATCCATTGAATAACTAATTAATAAAAATAATTTTTTGTTATAACAGATTTGCAAATTTACCATATGAAATAGATTTACAAGATTACTATAACGACAAAGAAGAAATAGAAATGCGTAGTCTTGATAATTGCTCACATATCATAACGAATCCAATGAACACTGTGACTTATCATCCCTACGCAACAATAACGTCCTTTTCGAGTCAGAATTTTTCACGTAATCTGACGAGGAATAACTCGAGGCACAATCAACCAAGCACAACGACCGACAGTTTTTACATTGAAAATGAGTATAATAATATTTACACAGTAAATAGCAACAACAACATAAACCATAATCACAACAATCAACAAAACACAAATGTAAATGTAAATGTTAATTCAAATAATAATCACCCTACGACCAATCACAGAAATTTCTACGTAATGACCAACGGGAGCCTGTACCGTCAAAACGCATCACGTGGATTTATTTCTAACGAAGAGCTGCACAGACACTTTAGTGATACTAATAATATAAGTTCTACCTTCGATAATTATAATTTTAACTCTAATTCTAATTCTAACGGGACGTCGTCCAGTGAGACTTCTGATCCTCGGGTCCAGAGCACACAAGAGACAGTTGTTGACGTTAATGTTACTGAAAGGCGATCTGGCGAACGGGATGGAGCTAGTGCTGTTGGATCAATTAATATCATCAGTTCTAATTCTAATTCTCACGCTAGTGCTAATCAAAATCCACGCAATCATATTGATCCTGATGGTAGTGCTAGGGCTGATCAGAGACGTGATAGACACCGTGATATTGATATGGATGAAGAAAATAATAATTTTGTAACACTTGCTGATATTCGTGAGAGCCGCGTGTGATTTATAATAAATAAGCTGTATTAAATAATTATAATTATATTGATTATAAGTTTAAATGTAATTGTAATGTACAATAATAAAAATTGCTTTTGATAGCAGTACGGCTGATGATAATTTAAAAGCCTCAGTTGGGTAATAACACTTAACATTTACTGAAAGTTATTTTGCTGATTTGCTTAAAATTTTTTAAATTAATTCCATTTAGTTTAATGCAATCTAAAAATTTTTCAACTTGTGAAATTATGACCTACTTTTTTTTATAAATAATTTTTTTTCACGATTAATTTGTATGACTAAAAATAAAAAATTGTATAAAATACTTGATTTAACTAAATAATTAAATTAATAATAATTTTTATTAAAAATAAGTAGTTAAATATTTACATTGTCGTCTAAGCCTTAACACTTTTAGTTCCACCCATAAGATGATCTAAAAATGAATTTTTGTCGATACTCTCGAGTACTTTTTCCTGTTTACGCATCAAAGGACCAGCTTCTTCTAACTTTTGATCTATTTCCATTTGTTGTTTGTACACAATATTAAATAATTGAACTACACCTCTGTAAAATAAAAATAAAAATTAATATTAAATATAAATACTGAAATTAAATTAATAAATTACTTTGTTGCTATTTTTTGTAAAGTTCTCTCGCGTCCGCGACTCAGTACTGACGGTTTTATTCTCAAGGAGACACCTTTAGATTTTTTTTCCTTCTTCTCCTTACTTTCAGGCTTCTTGACTGCGCTCTTATCGTCCTCAGCACCAGCCTCGGCCTTGGGTTTTATTTCATTGAGCTTTTTAGCACGAGACAACACCAGAGTTTTCTTCTTTTTAGGCTTATTTGTTTTTAATATTTTTCGAAACACGTCTGCTAGACCCGGGTTGCCATGGAACTTAGAACCTGGTACATATGCTTCTGTATCACTATTCTCAACTTCGGAGTCTTCACGCTCGTTGTCAGACTCCGAGGAGTTTTCTGGAGTCATTTCTTCAATACTCATTTTTGAATCTTAAAAAAAATTGATTTAGTAGATATTTGATAATTTTTTAAATCAATAAAAATTGCAAGTAAAAAAATTGAATTTTTATTTTTATTTTATATTAAAACGTAAAAAAAAATACTTACAGCTGATAATTACGAAACTTTAAAATGATTTAATTATTAATTTATTATAAATTTTCTTTTAATAAATTAATTAAAATTAAAAATTGTGTTTATTTATAAAATTCAAGCATGTGACTTATATCACGCGAGTGTAAATAAACTAATTACACTCAAAATTTAAGGTTAACTTTTAGTTTTGAAAATTCCGCTAGAGGCACTAGAGGTGCAAATTGTAATAAAATTACTAACAGCTGATATTGTTTACAAATAAATAAAAACCGACGTGCTTACAATTTATTTGATAAAATATTAAGATTTTTTTATAGTTAATTATTAATTTTAATGTGAAATAATGCAATGGACTTGAAGTCACTGTTATTAAAATTTTCTCAATCAAAACAAGGTAAGAAAAAAAAATAACCATGTCATGGAATATATAATTAATTAATTAATTCAATGAAAATTAATTTAATTTAGTAGAAATTTGATGATTTTTAAAAATTTAAAAACGAATAAATAATGGCAAAAACAAAATTTATAAATAGAAATTTAAAAAAAATTAAAAATACAATTTTTTAAAAATAATTTTTTGGAGTAAATTTGTTAAATAAATAAAACTGAAGTTAGCCGACATTTGTCATTTTTGTGATTTTTACAACAAATATATAAATTACTAATAACAAAAAATTACAACAACAATGTTTTGACACATTTACACGTGGAATTTTTTATAAATTTTTTTTTATAACAATTTGTAATATTTTATAGTTGAGAAAGATCCAGCTGAGATAGAAAAAGAAGAGGATAAATATTTCCAATCGTTTTACCGTCAATGGAAGGGAACGACAGCCGAGGACAATGATGCGACCTACAAAGTCATACCCAAGTTTTATTTCAAGGTATTTAATCATTTTTAATCTATAATTTTTTTAGAGTCTGAAAATTATTAATTTTCATTGATAGTTGCCAAGAGAAGATGAGATACTGCCTCAGAAGCTCAGAGAAGAAACCCGTGCCTTATTTCTGCAACGCAGATCCCGTCAATTGCTGGACAACAATGAGTTGAAAGCTCTCTGGGTCTTGCTGGACAAGCACCACAGTCCTCCGCTCTCCGGGGACGAGCAGATGATCAACTACGAGGACTTTAAGCAAGTGGGAAAACTCGCCGGGGCCAAGTGTGCTCCTTATTTCACAGCTGTGGTGTTTGCTAAGCTCCAACAGGGAGATCCTCATGGAAGAATCAGTATCATGGCGCTGTTCAATTATGTTATGAGAAAGGTCTGGGTCCATCAGACCAGAATTGGTCTTTCACTTTATGATGTTACTGGTCAAGGATATCTTCGTGAATCTGTAAGTTTATTAAAATTATTAAATATCTGCTAGATTAATTTTTATGAACATTACTTAAAAAATAAATAATATTTTTTAGGATCTAGAAAATTATATACTGGAATTAATACCGACATTACCACAATTGGAAGGCTTGGAAAAATCATTTCACTCGTTCTACGTTTGCACAGCTGTCAGAAAATTTTTATTTTTCCTAGACCCGCTACGAACTGGCCGGGTTAGAATTCAAGATATCCTGGCGTGTAGTTTTCTCGACGATCTTCTGGAACTGAGAGATGAAGACTTGCCTAAAGACTTGCAAGAAGCTAATTGGTTTTCAGCTCCTTCGGCTTTGAAAGTTTACGGGCAATATCTCAACCTAGACCGTGATCATAATGGAATGCTTAATAAGGAAGAATTATCTGGGTAATGAGTTATTTTTTTTTTATCAAAAAAATATTGTACAATAGAAATTATTCATTCATTTTTTAAATTATAATATAATTAATTTTATTTATATAATTAGGTATGGAACTGGGACACTGACAGGAGTATTTTTGGAGCGCGTTTTTCAAGAATGCTTAACTTACGAAGGCGAAATGGATTACAAAACTTACTTGGACTTTGTACTGGCTTTGGAAAACCGACACGAGCCTCAGAGTCTTCATTATTTATTTCGTATTCTCGATATAAATAATAAAGGGTACTTGGACACTTTCTGCTTGAATTATTTCTTTCGTGCGATTCAAGAACAGATGACGATGCACGGGCAAGAGCCAGTTAGCTTCGAAGATGTCAAAGATGAAATTTTTGACATGGTTAAGCCTGCTGATTCTTGTAAAATTACTTTACAAGATCTTTTAGCATGGTAAGTACTTTTTTTTAGCAGATTTCATAGAAATCTAATTATTGCATTGGTCCTCATGACGGAACTTGTAAAAAATTTTGCTATATTCCAACTTAAGGTAGTTGTCGTGGTTAAGGTCTAGCGTTAGAAAATTATGAAATTTTTTTTATCGAAAGATAAATATATTAATAATTCACCACTAAAATTTCAGATCAATTCACTATTTTTTTTTTTTTTAATTCAAATTATTTTCAGAAAGTTAAAATAATTTTTGTTGTTTCAGTGGACAAGGTGACACAATGATTAGTATTTTAATAGAATTTCATGGTTTCTGGGCTTATGAAAACCGTGAAGCTATGGCTGCTGACACTGGAGAAGAATCTTCTCATGTATAAAATTTTTAATTTATTAAAAAATCTTTTTTTTTTTATCGGATTAAGAGACAACAGTCAATTTTTATAATTTTTGTAACAAATCAATTACAATAAAAAAATGCTTCAAAAATTTCTCGTCAAATTTTTTTTTCTTAATAATTTCACTATTATTAATATTAAAAAAAAAAAAATTGTGCCAACAACACGTGGTGTTCCCAAGCGGTCACCCATCCAAGTACTAACCACGCTCAATGCTGCTTAACTTGAGTGATCGGACGAGAACTGATGTTTGAATTCAGCATGATATGGTCGTTGACAAATATTATTAATAAAATTGGTTGTCTGTATATAATTAGGGACGCCTGCGCATCATCGTCCTATTACAGCTGTTTTATATATTTTTTTCACATTTTTTACTCTAAAAAATTATTTGATAATTTAATGAGCATTATGAGTCGTGCACTTTTGGATATCCCAAACTTTTTATGGGATTTTATGAAGATTTTTCTTTAATTAAATCTCTATCCTCCTTACTGTAAGTTATTTTGAGGGTATATAACCTTAAAACAGTGTAATAAAAACACTGGAGGTATAAAAATGCCTACCGGAAAAAGAATACCAGATTTAAGACTTGAATCCCCAGAAACCAATCCTTGTCTGAAGGTAAAAATATTAAATAATATTTATTATAAATTTTAAATGACACTTTAATTAATTATTAAAATTGTTCTTCAGGAACACAGGCTGTCATTGAAATGCATTGCAGATAATTATAAAGATAAAGATAAAGTATGTGCGATTTATTTTGACAATTACAAAGCCTGTAAAAAGTTCTGGGTAAGTTTTTAATTAAACTATTTTTTTTTTATAAATTGAATTACTGTTTGTTAATTGTTTATTTGCAGTCTAATGTTGTTTATGAACGTAGGCAACAAGGTTTAACTCCTTATTTACCGCTCCCGGATGAAAGAGAAAAAATAAAGAATGATTATTTGAGTAAATTGAAGAAAAATAAATAATTACTTTCAACCATTTATTTATATATTTTGTAATTGCTAGTTGTAGTACATTTTTACTATGTATATACATAAATACGTATATATAAATATTGTAAATACATTTATTGGAGGATAAAATGAATGTAATAAAAAATATTTATTTAAAAACAAATAATTAATTTATTTATGTTGTAGTTTTCTCTTTAAGTTTGTTTGTATAATCATCAGAGTTTAGTTAAATATACTTTGGTAGTTTACGAAGAGTTCAAAAGTCTCACACATAAAATATAATAATTATTTGTTAATCAATCAGTATTTTTATAAGTTAATTCATTATTAAATTTTAGTTTACAATTAATGATTTTTTATGTCGGTAGAATTACTATGTATATTATTTATTTATACATACACACATTCAAATTACTGACACTTTTTTAATTTTTGGGACTAGTTTGTACATTTTTTTTTTTTTGTTTATTTTAGTAATTAATTATTAATTACATTACACCGGAAAACTGTCCCAGGTTTATTTTATAATTAATCTATTACTCAAACTAGCGTACACTCAAATTATTCAGATGTTTGGTTGGTATAATGTAACAATTAAGTGTCTTTATTTATACAACTTATAAATGTATTTTTTGTAAAATTAAATAAATTACAAACGCCGGCTAAATTATAAAAAAAAAAATTATCTAACAGTAAAAAAAATCATACCGTAAATGATTAATAAAATTATTTATCTAAAAAACAGATCATACGTTTTGTATAAATTATTGGTTAATAATAATGACTTGATTATTTTTTAATACATTATTGTGTAATAATAACTATTTTAATTATAATAATTATGCAATAATTATTTTTGATTTTTAAAAAATTTTTTTAAACTAAAATAATTTTTTCAATTATCGCTTTATATTTAATTAGAATTAGAATAAAAAAATTGCATAATTACCATAATTATGTTTAAATTAAAATAATAATAATTATTATTAATAACAATAATTTGTAATGAATGATTGTTCAATGGCACAAGTGACCAAGGTATTTATTAAGGGGGAACACTATTGTGACAGTCAAAAAAAAAAGATGATTTTTCGGAATTTTTTTGACAGGGAAAATAAAGGAATTTGTGGATCGGTTTTTTTTTTATTTTATTAAGGGTACATTAAAGATTATTACCCTAAATTTTTATTGAAGAACAATTAATTATTAAAAAATTATCAACAATCTCATAGAGCACTAGAAAAAATTTCCCCACGCACGGAATTTTTAAAATTTTTATTTCAAAGATTTTTTCAGCCGAGTTAAAACATGAAAATTAATTTAGCAGATGTTTGATAATTTTAAGAATTTTTTTAACAAATAAATTATGGCAAAAAAAATTAACATTTAGAAATTTTAAAAAATAAAAAATGCAATTTTTTAGAAAAAAATCTATTTGAAAAAAAAAATTAAAAAATGGTTAACTGCTAACTTTAACATGTTAAAACAAAAAAAATAGTGTAAAAATAATGAGAAAATTTTCAGTCGTCATTTTTTTGAAAATCAAAATTTTACAATTCCATAACTTTGTAATAATTAAATATTTTTTAATAAAAATTTAAGGTAATAATCTTTAATGTACCCTTAATAAAATAAAAAAAAAACCGATCCACAAATTCCTTTATTTTCCCTGTCAAAAAAATTCCGAAAAATCATCTTTTTTTTTTGACTGTCACAATAGTGTTCCCCCTTAATAAATACCTTGGTCACTTGTGCCATTGAACAATCATTCATTACAAATTATTGTTATTAATAATAATTGCTTTTTAATAAGTAAGGATGTTATCGTTGCACGTACAGAATTTTGAAAATTTTTTTTTCAAAAAAATGGCGACTGAAAATTTTCTCATTATTTTTACTTTATTTTTTTTTTGTTTTAACCCAGCTAAAAAATTTTTTTCTAGTGCTTCACAAGATTGTTAATAACTTTTTAATAATTAAATATTCTTTAATAAAAATTTATAATAATCTTTATAATAACACTTTTTTTTTCGACCGTCACAATGTTGCCCCTTAAAATAAATTACTTACTAAAATAATAATAATTATAATAACGTCCGAGAGACGATACATGATAAAAATGAAGACACATAAAAATGAACCCACACACGAGCCAAACAAACAAAATAAATTTAAAAATTTCTGAATCACCAAAAAAATAATTAAAAAAAAAAAAAAAAAAATTCAATGAAGAAAGACAATTGGATTATCAATAGACGTACTAGTAGAGTTGGTTTTGATTGATTACAAGTACATATAAATACGTATTTAAAAATAAATGGCAATAAACGTGTGTAAGATCTATTGATTTATTATAAAAGTGTAATTCTTCATTTCTAGCACGCATCGTCGGCAAGTAGTCATTCTGAATGTTCGCGAATGCGGAATGTGTTTATACGGAAGTGTTGACACATCTGGCGCACCACACAGCTCCCGTAGTGTATGTGAGCAGCGAGGGCAACTAGAGCAGTCAAGTACATTATTTGTAAATCGTAGCTGGGCGCTACGTAGGAAAAAATTACCGCAACACCCAGCGGCAGCAGGATCCAGGGCAGGATTTCGCACCTGATGTTGCTCATCTGCGACACGATTAGACGGCTGCAGATATTGGAAAATATCGTCCCAGTTGCGAAGTAGATAATCCTCGGGTCTTTATCCATAATGTTTGTCGGAGAGTGTGTCACCCAGTATGTCGAAATGCTGACTAATATAACAAGAGGCACTAGAGGTCTCATTGCTTCGATGAAGCTCCGGTTTTTCCCGGTCTTGTCTCGGTAAGACTTTATGATGTTCCATATGATGACGGGGACGTTTGAGACCATCGCACTTACGTAGAGAACAACTTCGAAGAGCATGCCAGCGTTGAAACCTCCGGGAAGGTCCATTTTCCAGAAGCCGTGGCCCAGGATGCCGGTGACGATGAACAGCAGGATTGTAGCTAGCATGGAGGCGTCGTAGCCCCAGGGAAGAAATAATACTCCGGTGTTGTACTTCTCCCAGTGACTCAGGTAGAAGTTTATCATGATGTTCCAGAGGACGAAGTACATCCTCAGAGGAGGGATACTGTGCTCGGTACGACCGAATACTGAGTATATGCATACTGTTATCAGCATCGCGGTCCAGCTGTCCAGCCCGTGGTCGAACAGCTCTCCCAAGGGTCCTGAGGTCTGGGTTCGTCGCGCCTGCTTACCGTCGATCCCGTCCAAGGTGTACGCCATGAAGATATTGAATGCAGCTAGCAGAAATACCAGTTGCGGTATCGCTGGGTATTCCGGGTGGTCATCACTCGATGCGTAGTAATAGTAGTCGTAGTAGGCGAACATTAGGAAGTTCACTACTGTGAAGAGGAATCCTGAGAAGGTTAACAAGTTTGGAGCTACCCATTTTGGACACCACTGAAAAATTTTAATTGTTAGATTTTTTTTTTTTGGAGTAAATTTAATAAATTTTTAATTGAAATTTTTTATTTAAAATTTAATCATAAGGTAAAGGACCCAGTTGTTGACACTTGGAATTTTATTTTAATTAAAAAAAAAAAAAACAAATTAACTCTAATAAATTAATGAAGATAATTTTTAAGTTATTTGGTTTCTTGAGAACATTTTATTTTTTTTATTAGAATAAAATTACAAGTATCAAACAACTAGACTATTATCAATAACTGGGTTTTTACCTAATTAAAATTTAAAATTTTTAGAATTTTTTCAACAGATAATTTATAGCAAAAAAAAAATTTATTTAAAAAATTTCATTTTTATAAGCTCTAAAAAAATAAATAAATTTTTTTTTTAATAATTTGGTAATTATTTACAAGTGGGGTCAACTCTATTTTGGGTTATGACTAGGTAAAAAATTAACATTTCTTTTTTTAGGTAGATCGTAGAAATCTTTTTTTTTTTATTCTGCTTATTTTTACGGCGCATTTATGATAGAAAATGTCGGAAAGGAAAAAATAAAGATTTTGATCGCTTTTTTGCCTTTAAAAATTGGAAAAAATTTTTGCTCTCATGTTTTTGGATCAAATTTCTATTTTATCTTTTTTTGATGTTTTTTATATACTTTAAAAAAAAAAAAAAATGTTCATAAAGAAACGAACAATTAATGATAGCAAAAAAAAAAAATTTATTCAAAAAATTTTCTCTTTATAAGCTCTAAAGAACTAAATATAATTTTCTAGAAATTGTTTGTATTTAAAGAATAATAAAAAAATTTTTAAGTTTGTACTAATAAATTTTTTTATCCAACTAAAGATTTATTTAAAAAAAAAAATGAATCTTTAAATTATGGAATATATTATGTGGATAATTTACCTTGAGTAATTCAAGCATAGAAAAAAAACTTTCTCAAGGACTTACAAAGATTTTAATCATAGAGTAAGTAAAATAAATTAGTATTTAAAACTATTTAATAGCGATAGAAGTGATAAGTTAATTATTTAATAATAATTACTTTAAAATTATAAGATAAATAATACTTATCAATACTTACAGTGATAACCTTGTTCCACCATGGGTGCATAACATAAATGCTGAGAGGACTGGTATCCAAGCAGCTGTACTGTAAGTAAATATAAACAATTAGTCGCTAGTCGTAAATAATTCTTCAGTATTATAAAAATAAATAAACAAGTAGTTTTACTCTAGTCGACTTGAGGTATTATCATTGGCGTTATCAGTCGCCTGATCATAGCTCAACACATATTTACCATTTCATACATACCATATAAATATATAAATATAAATATCAATACACATACATTTATATCAATGTATTTTCTAGAGTAAAACTAGTATGAGCACAAATTACAAATTGTCATTGCCGCTAGTTAATGATAGCTTAATCATTTAGGTTGCAAGGATATATTAAATTACCTATGGTTAAATTAGTTGTTGCGTATTTTTCTTTTAAATAATTGCAATTTTAAAAAAAATAATAAGTGATGATTAAATAATTAGATGATAAGTGAGAGGACTAGGATTACTAATATGACCTTGTGACCTAAGAATGAAATGCGGTAAAGCAATGGTTCAGCAATGCCGGATTGATAATTCATCGCTCATCGCTATTTAATTTAATAATACTCATGCTTATAATAATAACTATATTATATTATGGACTAATGGAGCCAATGTGTTGTTTACCTTGTAATTTTCAAAACCAGTGAGATGCTCTTGAGTCAAGTAATTTACTTGAAGATTTAATCGAGTCATTTTTATAACTTTTAATAGATACTTTCAGTTAACAAATTTATAAACTAACTACACGTTTTTAATTGACGACTAGACCTACCAGCTACATTCAATAAATGTACGAGTTACATCGAGTGATTGGTTGCTATTATTATTGTTTTTATACTAGATATGTGGTTAGGTTTATTATTGTTGTTAGTATTTATTGCTTAAACTTTACACTAAGTACACAACGTAAAAAAATAAATTAATAAACTACTCTACGTTGCCTCGGTTGCCAGTGATCTTGAGCACATCGCGTTGGAGATCGCCGAGTCGCGAGTTTAACAATTTTTCCTCGTCGCTGGATTATTTTTACGCATGCGTTCGTTTTGTGATGAGTGAAGTTGGCTGGAAATTTACTGCAGCGCACGGATTTTTTGTTTTTGTGATGAAGTTTTTTTTTTTTTTTTGTTACAATTCTTTTAATAAAAAAAATTATAGAAATTTTTAAATGTCAGTCAACTTAATTTTTTATGATAATAAAGTTAGCTGTCATGACCATTTTTTTATTTTATTCATGCAACAAAAAAATTTCTTCCAAAAAATTATATTTCTAAAAAATTGCATTTTTTATTTATTAAAATTTCAAAATTTATGCAGTAATAAAAAAATTAATAAAATTATAGTATTATAAAAAAAAAATGATCGAAGATTAAATTAAGAAGTAAGAAAATATTTTTTAATAATAACAATTGTTTTCATAATATAATTTTCTACAAGTGAAATTAAAAAAAAATTTTTTTATGACAAATTCTTCAATAAAAAAAATTATAAAAATTTTTAAATGTCTGTTTATTTTAATTCCATTAAAAAAAAAATAGAAAAATTAATAAAAAAAAAATAGAAAATTTGGAAGTAAGTACTTACTCAGTTATTTTTTATAAATAAAAAAAAATTTTGACACTAAAAAAAAAATTGCCAATCACTTATTGAAGTTGGATAAAGAAGAAATTGACTCATCGGCAGACATCTTGAATAATCGATTAGTATGACATATCGAGAATCGACTATTGAGTATCCACCACGCGTTCATTTAATCTAACCCTAACCTCAACTGACACTTTTCTTGCAATCCTAGCCGGACTGATTATTTTTGTTATTTAGTTTAATAAAACAAAGTCAAAATGGTTGAAGCTATGAGACAAAGCATCGCTGATATGATCAAGGGCATCGAAAGGTAATTTTTATAAATAATTTACATCAAAAGTGCAAATTTCTTGACTCTTATTTAATTGTTTAATTTTTAGATACAACCCCGTTCACTTGCCAACATTGGAGCAGTATGTTGATGTCCAAACACGAGAAAATGCCTACGATTTAGAAGCTAACTTAACTGTGCTTAAATTGTACCAATTGAACCCTCAGAGCTTCAAGAACGATGTTACTGCTCAGATTTTGTTGAAAGCTCTCACCAATTTACCTCACACTGATTTTGTTTTGTGTAAATGTCTTTTGAGTGAAAAAATTGTAAGCTATTTTTTTTTTTTTATTTTTAGTTATTAGAAAAATTTTATTGATTAATAATTCTAAATAATATTTAGATGCAAGAAGACCTTATCAATCAAGTTATTTACTTGGGAGACATTTTGGAGCGTTGTGAGTTCCAGCATTTCTGGGAAAGAATGTCTCAGATCCCCATGACTGAACTTTGCGACCGGATCGTAGGATTCAAAGACTCGATAAGGAAGTTTGTGTGTCACGTTGTTGGAATTACCTTCCAGACTATTGACAAGGGTCTCCTAGCTCAATTGCTTGGTGACATTGACGGTAAGAATATCTCTTAAATATTTACATGTGTAATTTTTTTATGATATTGAATTTAACAGACATCTAACAATTTTTTAGATTTTGATAACAATTAAATTATAATAAAAAAAATATCACATGTAGAAATTTAAAAAAAATTATAAGTGTGCATTTTTTTTAAATATTTTTAACTTCCCGCTAAAAATCTCAGATTTTCAAAAATCGGGAAGTTATTGTTTTCACCCGGTTTTACAAAAATCGAGTTTTCATCAGATCTCGACGTTTGAAGGTCACAGGAAGCTTCCCTGACTATTTTTACGATGATGTCCGTACGTCTGTATGTATGTGTGTGTGTGTGTGTATGTAAACCTCTTGTAACTTTTGAACGACTTGACCGATTTCATCGCGGTTGGTGTCATTCGAAAGGGCTTCACTAAACTTAGATTTCCTGAAAATTTGAAGGTAGATTTCGAGAAAATCCAAAATCTCCGAATTGGCTGAACCGATCGGTCTCAAAAACTAATCAGCTCTTAACCTTGAAAACCCCCATCGATCGCCACCAAAAACGTTAGAATCGGTTGATGCGTTCGTGAGATATCGTTGTCGAAAAAAATCGAAAAAAGTGTTTTTTTGTAATAACTTCGAAATTCATGGCTCGATCGATTTAAACTTGAAAATTTTTCATGGAGCTTCAAAAACTGCGTCGATTGCCGCCAACCGCGTGAAAATCGGTTCATTCATTCAAAAGTTATTGACGTTTGAAAATTCAAAAAATTGTGTCTTTAAACTGCTATTACAGTTTTAAGCTCAAATGGACACAAAAATAATATTTTTGAGCTCGAAGAGCTTAAAAACGTAATGTGTAGTTTGAAGCGTTTATTAAGTACAAAATGAGCGGGAAGTTGCAGGGATGGCCTTTAGGGTGAACCGTTTTTCTAATTTTTTTTATAATCATTGACTTGTTATGAAAATTTCAAGAATTATCATTTTTTTTTTTTTTTTAATAGTTGATTTAACAATTTGCTATTTTTTTGTATCACAAAATAAATATATAAAGTTTTACATCCTAATATAAAATTGAGATGAAATGTATGTGGCATCAAACTATTCGTAACGTGATTGGTCAAATATATCATAAGCATGAAAATATATGCAAACTCTATAGTCAAGGCGCGCCCTTGCGCGCGTAAATTTGAATTCTAGTCCCATAATAAAATTGAGATGAAATGTATGTGAAACCAATTTATTCGTGATGTGATTGGTCGAAAATAAATATTCTCATTCTGATTGGTTGAAAGTGAATATAATATACCTAAACGACACATAAATATATCATGCCAATGAATATGACGCGCGCCCTTGCGCGCGAAAATTAAATTCTAGTCCTAATATAAATCAATTTTTATATTATATTTATGGTTGAATATATCATAAGCATGAAAATATATGCAAACTCTATAGTCAAGGTGCGCGCTTGCGCGCGTAAATTAGAATTCTAGTCCCATAATAAAATTGAGATGAAATGTATGTGAAACCAATTTATTCGTGATGTGATTGGTTGAAAATATTTATTCTCATTCTGATTGGATGAAAGTGAATATAATATACATAAACGACACATAAATATATCATGACAATAAATATGAGGCGCGCGCTTGCGCGCGAAAATTAAATTCTAGTCCCATAATAAAATTGAGATGAAATGTATGTGGCATCAAACTATTCGTAACGTGATTGGTCGAATATATCATAAGCATGAAAATATATGCAAAGTCTATAGTCAGACGCGCGCTTGCGCGCGTAAATTTGAATTCTAGTATATACAAATATCACATTTTTACATATTCTTTCAATTTTCTTTTGAAATAATTGTAGATAATTTAATTAATGAATTAATTATTTTTTTTAGATGGAACTTTAAAGCACTGGGTGAAGAAATACGGCTGGCAAGAGCAGAGTAAAAATGTTATTTTTATCGCCAACCAGGACGAGAACATCAAAACTAAAAACATCACCGAGAAAATTGATTTTGAGAATGTCGCTGGACTTATGGCTGCTTGTCTCTAGAGACTTTTTTTTATTAAAACTAAATTTTTGTATTAAATTTAAAACTTCAGTACGTATAACATCAATTGATATAAATAATTACTTTTAATGATTTATACCAACAATAATTAACAATAAATTTATTAAATCGGACTTAAGGTCTTAATTTTAACACTAAATCATGATAATTATTATGGAAATGAAGTTTGCCGACATTTCGAAATTTTTTATTGAAAAAATTTCAATTAAAAAAGAAATTGCACTTGTAAAAAACTTGAAAAACTATAAATGCAATTTTTTAGAAATATCTTTTTAGTTGTAATTTAATTAATAAAAAACATCAAAAATTTTTAGACGTCTGCTAACTTCAGTGTCATTAATTATTAATTAAATAGTTTTGCTGGAAATTATACAGGGAATACTTTTAAAAATTTATACAAAAAATAAAATTTATGTTAACTAAAATATTTACCAGCCAGTTGACAGTGAATCTTGATGACTTATCATCGGAAACATTTATTGTGACCCAACAGTAAGTTCAATTATCTAATAAATACTTTTGTTCTAAATAAGCTTGTTTTATTAGACAAACTTATGAACATCAGCAGTCCAGTTAAAACAATTGTTAACAACCGTCAACGTATTTGATAATTCTGCTGGTTTTTTATTAAAAGAACTTTTTTATATCCTGGTAAGTTTATTGTTTTTAAAGTATGTTAATTTAGTAATTAAAATTTATTTTTATGGTAATTTTGAAGGTAATAAGACTTATAAATATTTTTATTAATGTCCTTGTGAATTAAATATTTGAAATATAGTAAAAAAATTATGACACTGGAGTTAACAGACACTAGAAATTTTTTTATAATTTAATAACAATGAAATTATTGTGAAAAAAAATTTAACAAAAAATTCCACATGTGAAAATTGAAAAAAAAATAATTACTGAAAATTTTTAAAAGCATTTTTTTACTGTAATTGGTTTATTATAAAAATTTCAAGAATTGTTAAATGTTTGCTACTTTCAGTATCATAAAAAATTTAATTTTTAAATTATTAATCTAAATATTATTTAAAAAAAAAAAAAAGTGCTTCAAAAAAATTCTAAATAATACTCCAATTAATAACTTAATTTTAAGCCTATCATTCCAAAGTGCTGGATAATTGGAGTAATTTTTTTAAAACGTCATTTTTAACCATCTACCTATAATTAGAGTTATTAAAAAAATTAACACCTTGGTAATAAAAAAATAAATAAAATAATAAAAAAATTGCGCAATCGCAGTGCATACGTAAGGCTGGAGGGCGCTACCTGAAAAATAGCCGGTACAATTATTTTCATCAACCTAGTTGAGATATTTTTTATGAGCAACAGTACCTTTTCATCTGCCATTGCAAGTTGAACGCAATCACTCGTGTTACGACTTGCTGATAATTAAATAATAACCAGACATAAGACAAAAGTAAGTTTTATCAGTGCGCACGTGATACTTCTGACTATCGTGCTTTCTAGAAAATACTAGGAAAGTACCTACGCACAAACTTAATAAAAAAAAAAAAATATTTATTTAGTAATAAAAAAAAAAAAAATAATATATAACTGACAATTTAATCAGCCGGCACTTTAATTCACCCGAAAAAATATCTACTAGGATTCTGACTAACAAAATTATAAATAGTACGAGCTGCACTTGAATAAATTGACATTACTTAATCATTAAATCGGGAGCTGATAACTGTGTCAGTCGATGACAAACTGGAAGAATAAATTAAATATTTAATTGTAATTGAACCAGTTATTGCTTGGTACCATGGAGATGGCATCCAAAAGTCCTTTCAGGCCTTTTAGTGAGCGCCTGAAGACTAACAGTTTGTATCAACTTCTTTTTAAATAATTTTGTTAATTAATATTAGATTTTAGAGTGAGGAAAATTAAGTTAGCCGGCATCTAAAAATTTTTAGAACTTTTTTATATTGAAAAAATCATTACAGAAAAATAAAAAAAATTTTCACTTGTAAAAAAATTGAAAAACTACAAGTGTAATTTTTTAAAAATATTTTTTTGTTCTAATTTAATAAATAAAAAATAGTCAAAAAATTAAAAACGTCAGCTTTTAGTATTATTTTAGAGTGACATATAAATAAATAGACACTTGACAATTTATTAATAATAAACTAAGTACAGAAAATAATTTTTAAAAAATTACACTTGTTTTTTAGATTTTCTAAAGGTGGAATTTTTTAAATAAATTTTTTTTGCTATAATTTATCAATTAAAAAATTTCTAAAAATTATCAGATGTCTCTCAATTTCTCTGTCATAATTTAGATTGTTTTTTAATTGTCAGTTTTACTGTGTGTTATTTTAATAATTAATTTAGCAGATATTTAATATTTGTTTTTTAACAAATAAATTATGAGAAAAAAATATTGACATTTAGAAATTTTAAAAAATTATCAAGTGACTACTAACTATATCATGTTATTTTAAGTGGTTACATTTTTTTTATAATCGGTCAGTTTGTGTCTTAAATGTAAACAAATATTTTGTTACATGTCTGTATATATTTATTTTTTTTTATTTTACTATATGTATTTATTTTTTTTTTTTATTGACAATAGATAAAATTTCTTGGAAGATTCTCTGGCCTCCGGTAAAATTATTTATAAATACCAGCTCAATCCGTCTTGTATTTATTTTTTACGACAAAATTCTATTAATTTTATCTTTAATACGTCGAATTTTAAAAGTTCAGTTTAAAAACGTCTGGTAATTTTTATTGTTTTTTAAAGTTATAAATAAGTTATTAAATTTATTGGAAGAAATAAATTAAATTGAAAAAAAAAAAAAAAAAAAAACAATTTAAAAATTGGAGGTGACTTTTTTAATTAAAAAAAAATTTTAATATTTATGAAGAAATGATAAAATTATTTTGGAGTAAATTAAAACTTTTAGATATTAATTTAAATAAATAAAATATTTAAAAAAAAATTTCAAATATTAATTTATATAAATAAAATATTTCAATAGAATAAATAAAAAAAATAATTTACCTCCAAATTAAAGAAAATCTAAATATCGCTTGCACGCGGTTTTAATAAATAAAAATAAATAAAAATTAGATTATGATGGAGTAAAAAAATATGAAGGCAGTAAACGTGCGCAAGACGTTTTCTATCATCAAATTAAGCGATAACGAGATAACCCACGGGGTCGGAGCGTGTAATGGGGTTGTACTAGCTCTGGTAACTATTATAATTATTATTTTTATTATTAACAACATTATTATAGTTATTATTATTATTATAATAAAAAAAAAAAAAATTGTAGAAATAAGAGGAGGATAAGAAGGGACTTCGGAATAACTTTGATGAAGCTGCTGCTGGTGCTACGATGATGCTCCGCGGGTCGTGGCCTCCATTGATACCGCCCGCGAAACCGCACTTTGGACTAATTCATGTTGACGACGGACACCAATAAACTAACGTATCCCGAGCGTTGTTACTCCAGTACTTCTTTGGTACTTCCGACTGCAACATATCACCTCTCAACTTATTAACTTTTAACTTGCTCTATTAATTAAATAAATAATTATCTCAACCCTCATTTAAACTTAAACTTACAATTTTTTTCTATTTAATATTTACTCTTATTTATCGCAGCAGCTTGTCTTGCCTCGTAAACTTGAATCATACTTGCTATTTACCGAGCTATTTTATATGTATTATTATAAATTTTTAATATATTTATCGCAGACATGGGTCTGTAGTCTAGAGTGTGAAGTATATTGTTTGTAGTCAGGCTAATAAGTACAGTGGATTTGCGGCGACCGTACTGGCCAGAGAATCTATTTAAACATCAAGAATCTATCAGTGATTTTTTTATTTTAGTTATTTATTTAAATTAATATTTTGAATACCGATCATGCCTACAGAATCTAGGAGCTTCAGCTCTAATGGGAGTATGATCGTGGTAAGCAACAGGTTGCCGTTTGTGCTCAAGAGAAATGAAGAAACTGGAAAATTAGAGCGTAAAAGCAGGTAAATTTATTTATTTATTTATTATCTATATTATTAAGAGAATAAGTAAAATATTGTGGCCAGTGTATTTATATGATAAAATGGGTTTTTACGGTTATTTTACATTTTATAATATCATTAGATACAGAAGAAATGATTTTTTATCTTGTGGACTATTGACATTTTTAAAGATATAAGCTCATTCTGATGTTATACTCATCAAGACCTTTCATTTGAGTACCCACATCAATTTTTTATATATTTTATATATATATATGAAAAATGTATGAAAATGCATGTGGGTACTCAAATGAAAGCTCTTGATGAGTATAACATCGAAATGAGCTTATATTTTTAAAAATGTCAATGGTTCAGAAAGTACAGGGCATTTTGACAAATATCTTGTGAACTATTGACATTTTTAAAGATATAAGCTCATTCTACAGTTATACTCATCAAGACCTTTCATTTGATTACCCACATCATTTTTTCATATATTTATATATTTTATATATATGTATATATGAAAAATATATCAAAATGCATGTGGGTACTCAAATGAAAACTCTTGATAAGTGTAAGATCAGGATGAGCTTATATCTTTGAAAATGTCAATAGTT